CAATGTCATGAACAGACAATATATACATGTATGTCAAATATATGTAATATTTAAACGTCTTTCAACAAATAGCTGTTAGACTATTTCTGCTATGCATTGAACCAGTAAAATGTGAATATTTTATTTTTGAATAAAAACACACAAGATTGTTCAGATGGTAGTTTGTAGGATCAAGTTGCACTTGGAAAGTACCAAAATTATGTTGACATTTGAAACAAACACTCATTACTTAAATACAAAATATAAAAAAAATCATGAAAAATCAATCTAACGACAGTTACAGTTTTAAAATAACCATGGGAAACAGGAACATGTGAATATATTCTTTGATTTCACAAAATCCATGCTAATCGTGTAAAAGATGGTAATATATGGATATACTGGGAATTTAACGACTAGCATCACAAGTGTAAACTGATAGATATTTCAATTACTATCTCATTAAAAAGCAATCAGTATATTCTGATGCTCCATTAGGAATGTTAGAAAAAAAGCATTTGGGGAACTAAATTCTGTCATGTTTGTGAAGCGGAAAAGTTAATATTGTATTTCCATTTCAAAGGTTATTCCAAAGTTGTACCTGACTTTGATGTCATATGAAGTTCGTAGTCAGTAGTATCAGCACGACTCAATCAAGTTTAACAATTATTCAGTCTTTGAACAGAACAAAACAGTTGTGTTAGGTTGTTATTATATTCAAATTCCTGAAAATAGGAATTATTTCTTTGATTGCCAGTTTAAGCGTCAGGGAGGAACACTCTCAAGTATCTGATCACTCATCCCACATAACGGAAAACAGGAATGATATGATTCTATGCGAGAGCCATGTTCATTCAAGTCATCTTTTTAAATTCTCGTTGTAAATCAATTATATGATATTGACTATCCCATGTTAACTTTCTCATCTCACTAACCAGATCTCTTTCCCTGTTTTCAACATCTCCTTTACTTCCTTGTCAATGAAATCTGTCTCGGGGGATGGTCAGGAATGATTGTTCTCTGCAGTTGATCTTTTATATTTATCAGGAATCGACCCCCATACTCCTACAGACCTACCATTTGTCCCCCCCCCCCCCGAAACTGACAAAATCTATCCCTTTTTAACCCTCCCATACTTCAATCTTCCCTTTTAATTTCAGTGAAAACTTCTTCAAACGATTTTACACCAAACAAATTTCCTCCCTTCCACTTTGACTATTCTTATTTCCAAATCTATCCCTTTCTAGTCTATCCTCATACCTGTTTTCGGCACACAACCCTCTTGCAGTATTACCCCACATTCTGTTGAATCAATAACTTGCATCCAGCTTAATCACCATGTTCCAAATCGAATACTGTTCCACTTAATTTCCCTCATTCACAGTCAAAATGTACACCTCTACCCACTCTATGTTACTCCAATGTGAACCTCCTCCAAAATGAACCCCATTAACCTCAACACAAAGTTTTTCAAAATCGACAAGCAACATCATGCTCTAACTACAGGCAGATCAAATGATGGCCCATGGCTTGCTGCCTGCTACCCCACCCCCACCCCCACCACCCCCACCACCCCCACCACCCCCACAAGCCTAACATCTCCCCTATTTTGGAGTGAGTGAGTGAGTATGGTTTTACGCCGCTTTTAGCAATATTCCAGCAATATCACGGCCGGGTACACCAGAAATGGGCTTCACACATTGTACACATGTCGGGAATCGAAACCAGGTCTTCGGCGTGACGAGCGAACGCTTTAACCACTAGGCTGACACCCCACCCACCCCCCCTATTTTGGAAATACCACATACACTTTCCAATATTCATGTATTGTTCCATCCAAAATAACTTTCCTGGTTTACATTAAACACAACTTAAACCCCCATTGGAAATTCCTTGTCATCAACCTAATCATGAAACAAGTTCTGACAGTTCTATCTTTTCAAATAAAAATGTTATTAATTTGAACATTACTTATGGACTGGTCATTTAGAGAGGGAGAGCATGAAAAATGTTAATCTCCCGACCCCCTAGGAAATGACCAGTCCCTTACTCCCAAACCTATCCCCCATACACTTCCCGACGTGTTCCCAAGCAGTGAAATAATATGATTATGTGAGAAGTTATTTCCCGGTTACTATGACTGCCTGTCACACTGACTGTGATACCAACTCACAGATCTGTGATCTGTCTCACAGCTGTAACCCTATACCCCTGAAATACATCCAACAAAGACAGAAATTTCCAAAAGCAAATCTAATTTTCCAAATGTCGATACTTTACTTTCCCACTTGGAGAAAATAGACATTATTTGTCTCAGAAGACTGTGTTAATCTCTGTTATAACCCTTTACTACAAACAATGATTAAAGTCTTAAATGGGAACATTTAGACCATATGCAATCCTATTATAGCTTTAGCTTTCACATTATTAAAATCTGTGTCCCTTCTTCAATAAAACTGAACGTGTATGCTTCAGACATGGCACTGAGCCATGCCCTTTATACTCCGAGTCAGTATTCCCTCTACAACAATACACCAGGCCAGGATGGATTTGAATTCTATATATTAGAATTTTACTATCTTGGTCCAAAGAAAACAGATTCAATAATCATCTGAGAATATACAGGGCCAGTGTGATAGTGTGATAGAATTCTCAAGCCTTTATGCTGCGGTTACAGTGTTCCAGCTACAGTTGCTGATCCAGCTCCCACTGCACTGGGCGAGGGAGGCATTGATTATAGGGGCAACTGATGACTAGCTACCCCTGTCTCCGCTAGAGGATGCTCGCTCTCTTCAAGGCATATGGAACCTCTCCAACCCCCCTTCTCCTGCTTGGACATCACAAGGGGTCCCCCTAACTCTCTGTCAAAGAGGCTTGCTTGATTACATTACTTTATGTTTAATTGATTTCAGAAGCTCATTACTGTTTAATTATAGATTAAAATTGCATGTGAGAATATAGAAAAGGGCCAAATGAATGTTATGTCACCATTTATTGAGACCATTTTCAATGATGCCTGTGTACACCTTGAAATCTGTGGAGCATTTTTTATTAATTGGTTTTCAACCCCGAGGCTATTTTTAAAAAGCCAGGGATGACATTGTACACAAATCGTATCATGGTGCTTGTACTCTTTTAAAAATCATTATCCACAAAAGGCAAACAGAACTATGAACCTCTGTAAGTGAAGGATATGCTTCTTAAACTAAGTCTCAGGATCTATCTTAAGCCATAAAGGGTTTTGCAGAAAATCAATAAGGCATCCAAATTCCATTCTGCCTTTCAAACCTGTACCTCCACCAGACTATCATCACACCATTACAAACAACGCAACGTGATGAGATCAAGTTGAAACAATTTTTACTTCAGACAATATCTTGCCGATACCAGGAATCTAGAATGATCCAATTTGACTTTTCGATGCTCGGTCCTCGTACCTCATTTATAATGTATAACAGTCATGGCTGATTAGGAACATACACTAAAACCTTCACATTCATAGAGACATGCTCTTGTGTCCCGACCATCAATGGAACTCCCTACAGATTTGAAAGTGATCTCAAGATGTGATACATTAAAATGCATTTCGACACCAAATCTGAAGAATACTGGTCATAGTATTTGAAATTCTCATCCAAATCATTCAATTTACACTCTGATAACCCAGAATTCAAATTCTACAAGAAATAGTGCATCGCCTTTGAACAGATATCTGATCTTACATTCACTGTTCATGTATAGTTCTTAAATGATTCTTGATTTCTTCGAAACGGATGCAACTGATGTCTCAAATTGACAGTGAAGAAAGTGAAGGAATTTATAGTCATAATATTATCTAAATATGTCATTGAAGGACAAGAATACTTTATGTATATTTTCCATGACATTAGATTCCTTTTGAATTTTTCTGAACTACTTTAAAGGATGATTGGCATGTAAAATGATATCTTTCTATGCATGTTTATCATCGCATTTCAAAGACTGATTGTTTGTTACATGAGATTTGATAATAAAATCCATCCATTTCAAACTAATATCAAACAACATTGATTTTGCCATTTGCTACCTTGATCTTGTTTATGTACAACAGTAACTTCAAAAATATGGATTTGGACCGTTTCAGGGAAGATACAGTCATCACATTGTGCAATATAACATTGATTCAGTGTGGTCTCTTTGTTAAGTGTATAGAAAACACATCTTCTGGGTCAGATATTTGACATAAAACTAAAACTATCAAAGCAAATTCAAAGAATTTGTATGTTTTTGTTCAATTATATTTATTTGATTTATATCAATTTAATCATATCACATTTAAGATCATACTGATTCCAATTTTTATACTCGCCAATATCTTAAGTAGGGATTTCCTTATCTGGAAAATATTATCCGAAGATGTTGTGAAGAATTGCCAGTTGTAACCGAATACAGATATAATTACCTATGATAACATCTATTTCACAGCCCAAGTCCATACCAAATGCATATAAATACAAACTTCTGCTTGAATCACAGGATATGATTAAAGAAAAAATCCTAAATAGATTTTCATGAATTAATAAACATTATAAATTCTTGGAGATATTTCATGAAGGCATTAATATCTGTGTTTTTTCAATGATAAAATCAGCATGGCAACTTCCTATGACTTAATGAATTTTCTTATCAAAGTTTGAACATCCATATAGCCTGGATCATATTTGCTCAAATCTTAATGAACACAGCAGACATTAATATCATTTCACTGAAATCATGTGTATTTTCAGTCAGATTAAACCTCAAACACTAATAAACTTTAAACGTATTGTTCACAAAAAGTTGGTCACTTCAAGTCTACAATGAACAATCCATAACTATTATAGAATAACATGCCTAAAAAACATGCAAGCTATCACTGCCCTTTCAAATAAAATCTATTTTAATTTTGTTTAAACTCAATGAATTCCTTCACACCCTTGTGTTTTTTAAAGGAACTGACAGTCATTATACATAATTATCCAAAACAGAACACACAAACCTACCTCTCACAAAGTTATCTCCAATGCTATATGTAATCCACTATGGTCAATTGCAGTAGATACACACCGCTATTCACTATAGACAGTGAAACGCTTGCTCTTAACAGTCATATATACCGCTAAGCACTACACGCTGATATCACACCAGTTTCACCTTTTACAAGATGCACGTTTGTTTCACTCCAACGCTAAGCACATCCCTGCTACCTTTCGAACCGAGTGCTTCCATAGAGACATTGCTCCGCCCCCTCGGATGATTGACAGGTTTAGTGAGGCGGGCAGATGGTCATGTGACTTGGACCAACCAGTCAAAACACAGGCCCATCATCAACAGTAGCATCACATGGAGGCAGACTGGTCATGCTGACATGGGTGAGAGTGTGTTTGTTGCATGTCTTGCAGTGCGTGATTTGTTGGTTGTGAATGGGCAAAGCTTTGACTGTGTGTCATGGGAGGGGGTGAGGAGGGAGGGGGTGAGGAGGGAGGGGAGGGGGGTATTTAATTGCAAGGATGGGAGAGGTATTGTAGAAATTAGAGGATACACACTTATAGATGTTATTTCATGTCACTCTTAGCCGACTCCAAACAAACAGTTGATCTGAAAGAATCTCTGTAAGATTTTGACATTTGCAAAGAAAATTACTTTTATAGAATATGCTAAAGAATGTGTGGTATCGTAATTATATTGTCAATCAATTTTCCTCTTTGAAATGTTTCAGTACCCAGAGTGTACCCCTGTACCCAAAAAGAAATAAAGTGATAAAAAGGAAAATGTGTGTTAAGTGCAATTACACTGTAAGTAATTGGGCAGATGATTAACATATTATCACCTAGAGTCAATTAAGTGATTATGTAATACCAACAAGTATGTCTGTTTGTAGTGAATGTCAGTGATGGGAGGTAGGGAGATGGGAGGTAGCCAGTTGGAGGGGTGGGGGGCAGGGGGAGGGGTGAAGCGTAGGGGTCTACTGAGCGAAGTCAAATGATGAGGTAGTCCCCCAGAGTCAATTAAGTGATTACATAACATCAACAAGTACTGCTGTTTGCAATTAATGTCATGGGTGGGTGGGGGGTAGCATGAAGGGAGGGGTCGTGGGTTGGGGAAACGGAGGGTGGGTAGTTAGGAGAAAGGAGGTGGACAGTAAGGGGAAAAGAGGGATGGAGGTAGTGATCTAGGGTCAATTATGTGATTGCATAAAACCAACAAGTTTACAAGTATAATGAATGTCAGTGATTACAAACAGGGGGTGTGAATCAAGCAGTGGTGGAATGGTGGAATGGTGGATCGAAAAGGGGAGTGAGTGAGTTTGATTTTATGCCACTTTTAGCAATATTCCAGCAATATCATGGCGGGGGGACACCAGAAATGGTCTTCACACATTGTACCCATGTCGGGAATTGAACCCGGTCTTCGGCGTGACGAGCGAACGCTTTAACCACTAGGGTAACCAACCGCCCCTTGTAAAGCAGAAAGGAGGAGTCAAGAGTACCGGGTATATGGAATAAATGGAAATAAATGGGTGGAGGAGGGAAGGGTGGAAATGGAGGGAATGTGACATTAAGGGGATGACAGTGGGAAGTGTATGTGTGGGGGATTGGGGGGTAAGTGGTTTAAGCAATGTAGGTAATAGATGGGTGTGAGGATTGTAGTATGGGGTGTACTGTGGGTGTGGTTTCAGATAGGTCTATGATAAAGGATATATGTTGGGTGTGTTGTTACGTAGGTCTATGATAAAGGATTTTTGTTGGGTGTGTTGTTATGTAGGTCTGTGATAAAGGATATATGTTTGGTGTGTTGTCAGGTAAGTCTGTGATAAAGGATATATGGTGGGTGTGTTGTTACGTAGATCTGTGATAAAGGATATATGTTGGGTGTGTTGTCAGGTAGCTCTATGATAAAGGATATATGGTGGGTGTGGTGGTAGGTAGGTCTGTGATAAAGGATATATGTTGGGGTATCAGGTAAGTCTGTGATAAAGGATATATGGTGGGGTATCAGTTAAGGCTATGATAAAGGATATATGGTGGGTGTGTTGTCAGGTAGCTCTTTGATAAAGGATATATGGTGGGTGTGGTGGTAGGTAGTTCTGTGATAAAGGATATATGTTGGGGTATCAGGTAAGTCTGTGATAAAGGATATATGTTGGGGGTGGTGTCAGGTAGCTCTGTGATAAAGGATATATGTTTGGTGTGTTGTCAGGTAGCTCTATGATAAAGGATACATGGTGGGTGTGGTGGTAGGTAGGTCTGTGATAAAGGATATATGTTGGGGGTGGTGTCAGGTAAGTCTGTGATAAAGGATATATGTTGGGGGTGGGGTCAGGTAAGTCTGTGATTAAGGATATATGTTGGGGGTTGGGTCAGGTAAGTCTGTGATTAAGGATATATGTTGGGGGTGGGGTCAGGTAGGTCTGTGATAAAGGATATATGGTAGGTGTGGTGGTAGGTAGGTCTGTGATAAAGGATACATGTTAGGGTATCAGGTAATTCTGTGATAAAGGATATATGGTGGGTGTGGTGGTAGGTAGGTCTGTGATAAAGGATACATGTTAGGGTATCAGGTAATTCTGTGATAAAGGATATATGGTGGGTGTGGTGGTAGGTAGGTCTGTGATAAAGGATATATGTTGGGTGTGGTGTTAGGTAAGTCTGTGATAAAGGGTATATGGTGGGTGTGATATCAGGTAGGTCTATGATAAAGGATATGTATGTGGGGGCTAGTCATCTGAGGTGCTGCAATTCACTGTGCAGAGATGCGTCCCTTGGACACACCAGAAACCTATGATCTCTGGTACAAATCCTAGTTCACCCCTATTATGTTTCTAGGTTTGTCAGCACCATACCTAGTTCACTTAGACTGTACCACAGTCCCTGAACCATATTATTTTCCCTTCCACCCAGCCCTTTCTTTAATGCAAAAACCCAAAATGAAGCAAGTCTAGATTCCCCTCAGGTATCCCATCTCACTGGCGCTCCTTTTCAATTTAAAGGGAGTTACTTGTTTATATCAAAATTCTATATTTTCAGAGATTAAGTGTTAGTCTAAGTTCCCTTCAAGAAGCATTAAACATCTCTCTCTCTCCTTACTAAACCCTCTCATCCATCCCCACCCAGGCCTCACCCACTCACTCACCCTGCTTCCTTCACATCCTTCAGTACATCACCTCCCTGCTTCTGCACCTAATGTAGGATGGACCAACATTGAAACAGGAAGAGGTCACCACCACAGCTCTCTCGGCCAGGTAAATCTGCCAGACCACATTCACAAACTGCTGACCGATTTTACTGCTTTCATAATATTGGCCCCAGTACCACATGCTGTTTGTCTGGGAAAGCCACAAACCCAGCTCTTGGTCTGCATAGGGTTCTATAATCACTCTTGGTTTTATTAAAGAAGCATGTTTTTGTAAAGTCAAATGTCCGAACATGTGAAAAACCGCAAACAATTGTTATGTGAACTTTACAGCTTTTTAAGTGCTGAATGGCAATTTTGATATTTGTGTTGTAAATTTCCGCTGTCTAAGTGCATATTTCATATGATTTTTACTTCATAGCATGTAGAGAGAAATCAATGTTTTGAGATGAGTAAAACACTTATTTCATGTGGGGAGTGTTATATGATATGATAATTATTTCGAAGTATTCATAGGGCCCCATTTTACGATTTTTTTAAAAATGTTTTCATGAATTCTGTAACCCCCTGCGATTTACCTGTCAAAACGTATGTTTCAGGATATCAATAAAATATACCAATTCAGCTTTAGCCATATTAAAGGAAAACTTCATACAAAGATAAAACCATCATTAAATCCATACCCCAAAAATCAAAAGAAAACTACCGCATATTTTAACAATTTATCCCTTTTATTATTGTGTGAATAGTTTTCAAAATCCATGATCCCATCCTCTATACCTCGGCTATCATGAATATAAATATATCAGATCTATAATCTTCCATCAAATTGTTTCATCTCAAACAAATGAAGCGGCAACAGTGTAAAATTCCATGTCTTCCGCAATATCTTCCCAGAATGATGCAGCCCGATCTTTAGCTTTGATGGATCACATGACAGGGGCGACTGATCACAATTTACTCCCTCCATTCCTAAAGAGCCAGTGACTCCTTTCTGCCGCGTTTCCGAAGTCTGAGAAAGGAGCCCTTGCTGATGTTTTGCTTGCTGAGACCGCAGAGCTAGGCTATTGATCAGTAACTGCCTCATCTAACATAGTGTTGGAGCAACGTCGGGGACGGTGTATGTGTGTAGTCAAAGTGCTACATCGTAACGTGAAGGTCGTTAGATCGAGAGTAAGGGGGTGACCAGCCTATTTATACTTCCGCATGATGAAGGAGAGGACACAGCTTTAAAATTCGGGACACAGGATGAAGTTTATTTGTTCGATATCAGATGCCAAGTTACTTTATTGAGGAAAGCTGGAGTGATGTCCAATTTAGATCGCCACACTTTTGCAGTGAGTGTGTGAAGGTTCGCCTTTGGAAATATTTGGTATTCAGAATAGTCGTATATGTTTTTCAATAAGTTTATAGTTCGAACTGACCTTTCAAGATATGTGAAACATTTATGATGACTTGATGATCAAAGGTTGATATTTACTCAAGGGAACACAATTGTCATCATGCAACACTTATATTAGTACCTGATGCCCTCATAAACCATCATTGTTTGCCAAAAGAAACCTCCAACTGAAGCTAAGAAGGCATATCAGAGTGAGTGAGTGAGTGAGTGAGTGAGTGAGTGAGTGAGTGAGTGAGTGAGTGAAAGTGGTTTCACGCTGCAGGAAGCAATATTTTGGATATATCAAAATTGCTGATGCAGCTATAAACAATATTCACTTTCTCACTCTTCCAGCTATATCACTGCAATCTGTTCAAGATTGGATCAGGCAAACCAGTTGAGTGAGTGAGTTTAATGCCAAATAAATGTCTTTTACATGTGGCACACCTCAAGTCCAGGGAATGTACAAGATTTCCTAATAACAGATTCTTGATGCCTGAGATGTGCTGTGCTGGAGGTTTTCCACTGGTTGAACATTCACCTACAACACTTCATCCTTTGATCTGGTTGATCATGGCCCTGTCTTCTTAGTTGTGTCAATTTGCTGTACAGAGTTGTCTCCCTTAGACAGGTCAGAATCCTATGATCATGAGTTCGAATCCTGGTTTGATCTGATTATGAATCTTGGTCAGTCGGTT